TTATTTAAGGAATAAAAGACGAAATTCCGTGTTTGATACTCTGATCAAAACACGCGGGATGTAGGGAGAGCACGAGAGAAGCGTAGGAAACCACGACGCGTAGCGGAGTGGTTTCCAGCTTTTCGAGTGCTCTCCCTACATCCCAAGTGTTTTGATCAGAGTATCAAACACGGAATTTCGTCTTTTATTTCTTTTCTAAAATTAAAAGAATACGAAAATTGTAAAGAATTCTGACTTTTGATACGATATGAAACGAGCGTGTTTTGATACTGTAATCAAACATGGTTTTCGACCAATCACAGCGCGCGTAGTATCCTAAATATTTTAGAAACATTACATAAAGTTCCAGACGGACGTAACATCATGTATCAATGATTGCTCATGTACATTTTATTTGATATGCAGTCACTCTGATCCCCTTTGGAGACAATAATCCTTAGCGTATAAGCAATAGAATGTTTTGATGTGACGTCGAATTATGAAATAGGGGAATTATACACTGATGAGGGAAGTCTAACGATAAGATTTTAAAGATTTTTTTTTATTAAAATTATCATCCGCAAGTGAGGGTAATGGGCTACCCAAATTTTAGTCCGTGTTTTCTGTGTCCAGTCCAAGTCCAAGTCCAGTTCTTTTTTACAACATGCCCACTCGAGATTTTACTACAGTCATGTCGAAAAAGATGCCAAATTTCCTATTAGATTGACAGAAAACAAGAAAACAAACACGGAGTGGATTTGAATTTTCAAAGGTAAAAGTAAATAGCAATTCTTAGCTTTATCTAGCACAATAGCGGTTGGAATGAAATACGCTGAGTTTGCATCTTACAGCTTTCTTTAAGCTTACCTTAGTTGGCAGATTCGTAGTAAAGAAAAAGGACAAAAAACCCTTGTAATTCGCAAAATATTGGATAAAACTATCACTAAACCCTAYATGTTTATTAGTTTTCGATATAAATAGCTGTATTTAGGCTGAAAGAAGACCAATTTTTAAATTAAAAGAGTCTGAAACGGGCGAAAAACTKCTTTGGCGAACGTGACAAAGAACAACGCGTGGTTTTTATCCCAAACACCACTACAAAACATGTTATTACCTATATAAATATAAATTCTAGCAGGAATTACGTTTTTTAATTGGATAAATTCTAGCAGGAATTAGGTTTTTTGGCTAACTCAACCTTAACTCAACCTTCACTCAACCTTCACTCAACCTTCACTCAACCTTAACTCAACCCTAACTCAAACTCAACTCAAACTCAACTCAACCTCTAACTCGATGATTATCTCATCTCGCAACTCGCGGCAATTTTCAATCGCAGGGCTATTACGTTTACACTTACGATTTGAGGTGAGCGAAAGCAAAGTGGCGATTGTCGCGTGACAATCGCACTGCAAAAAGCGCAAGTGTAAACGGGCCTTAAACTTCTTGTCTAATTTATGCAGACGAGTACCCACAACGAATGAAGTCCATCTTTATCTTTTTTTCCTACTTTTCACGGAGACAAGTCTATATTTGAATAGCAGGACCGTAGGCTGCTTTACAATGGGGAGGAAGGAGGGAGGAATTTTCATGTGATGATTTAGTAAGCCGTCATRTTACATCAAACATCGGTTTTCGACCGTAAACCAGCAAACCTATCCCCACCCCCATCAAATAATAAGTTCACTGAAGAATGATTATGCAAACCCGTATCTTTGCTAATTACTGAGCTGAGCTCTGATTGGCTCGCTGCTCCCTAAGGATTATCGCGTGACGTCATATATTAGCATAGAACTTCACCGAATAGACAGAGACACGATAGCCGTGTTGATTTCTTAAATGATTGGTTCTTTTCACTTCTCTCGATCTCCCATGTTTATAGAGACGCGCAAGCGTTCAGGTCTTAAATATTAATGAACTCAAYAAAATTCGTAACTGTGGGTATGTTTCTATATTCAGCAACCACCTAGGTATTAGTCTCCTCTCGCAGCCACAGMCAGAGTCACACAACGCGGGCTGCGACAGGAGACTGTGACTCCGATGGTATCCCGCAACATGACAAAAAGCAATTTACTTAAACAACAAAATTCGAAAACATAATATTCATTTCCTTAATATTTATTAGTTAATTCCAATTGAAACAGGTACACTTTGTTTCCATGGTTTTGAGCTGACCCTCTTTAACTTTATGAAACCCCTTAACTTATATTTTTTCGGCTTGCAACAAAAATACATAGAGGTATCAGCATTTGGGTTTCGCCTCATATTGGAGCTTGGCGTTTAGAAACTCCTTGCAATCAATGTAGTGGTCCCCTGAAAAAGTGAATTGGATATTATCAGTGCTGTGCTGTGCTGTGCTGTGCTGTGCTGTGCTGTGCTGTGCTGTGCTGTGCTGTGCTGTGCTGTGCTGTGCTGTGCTGTGCTGTGCTGTGCGTTTCATACATACCGTTAGTATCCACGGCATCAAAGGTCTTTGCAGTCGATATCTTATCGGTCTTTCGGGGATGGATCGCCATGAACTCGGCTCTTGAGATGCGACCGTCCTTGTCTGCATCGTAGAAAGAGAGACGCGCTGGGAGGCGAACGATAAATTCGTCAAAGAAAGGATTTGTCTGAAGAGCTGGCTCATCCTGATGAACAAAATTGAATTCTTAATGATGTAGTTTACAACCGGATTACACGACAATCTATCACGCTTCGTTTTTTTGTTTGTTTGTTTGTTTTTTGTTTTACTCAAATTTCTTTGTCTATTTGGTGTTCAATGAACTACAAAAACCGTGAAATAGAATACCATACACACTCTATTCTTATTCTTCCCTATCTTATCATACAAGATAGATTTGGGCTCACGGGTTTGGTATCCTCATTGTATTGGATAGTGAAGGTACAGTGAGAGTAGAGAAGTATGAGGTACTCAGGGATCAGAGTACAAATCAACTGGTAGTGTACCTGAATYGGTCCTGGATTTTCTTGCTCGTCTCTCTTCTTACCAAAGATCTTTTATATCAATAAACACATGTTAATATTAGAATATTAAAGGGCCATCATCAACCAGCATTCAATGCGGTCGTGTTTAAGATTTTTCATAAATGGAAAATGGTGTGACTCAAATATTCATTCGCAATCCGTTTCCATCTGTTTGTTTTGAGATCAAATCATACAAGAATTCCATTCGTAAAGCACTTTCTCTGTTCACAAGCGTCAATAMCGGGACTAGTGACGAATCATGGTAACGAGACCTCCAAAGCCTTACATCTAAAAAAACACCACTAAGATCGCATGTATAGCAGTGTCAAAGTTTGAAAKATGTATTGGTATATTATTTATGACAAAACACTCTTGTAAGACAACATGGAAGTTTACTTTACGAAAACTGGCCTTTACGAAAACTGGCCTCGTTTAAGTGTTTCACTCCCAACGACCGTGACAAAATGATAGAGTGGTTTTCCGTCAACCATGAAAGCACAATAAGTCTAATAGTTAGTAGTTGTTTGTCATAGACCAATACCAATAGTCTAGTCTAGAGTTGACCTGTATCCTATTCAATAGGTATCAACATATTCATCACAAAAACAAGTTTAATTTATGTTGATTTTAGTGGTTAAGCTATTTGTCTATAGTCTATGTGTCTAAAAGTTATATYGACCATTACTAATTGCTACTAACTAGTTGGTCTATTTCTTTTCATGGTTGACGGAAAACCTCTCTAGTCATATTAAGGTGGATATGAATGGCACTAGSAATGCCATTATAGTATGCAATGGCAATAGCTTGCAATAGCTTTCAATAGTTTGCAATAATAACTTAATTATACCTTTTTGCAAACTCGTCCACATACTCTACTGCAGACATATACAGCCGGGGCGCCACCCGWGCTGACGTAGCTACATCCTTTAACCTTACAAGAAATACTGCAAACCGTACGATATATCCTCCGGGGYGACCATCTTCTTCGTCTTCTTCCACCGAACCATGCGTCCGCGTCGGGAACAATGAGAATGGTGACGAAGCAAAGCAAGAAAAGAATCTTGAGATTCATTACCTGAAACATATAGCGAAGATATCAGCGCTATACGTCATTTAAAATTCATTGTTAAGCTGTTGTAAATATATAGTGTCTGCAACTGATTTAAAGCTAGGAATCTTACCTTGAGTTCTTGAAGCGCTGATCTTGAAGTGTTCTCAGTAAAGAGTTTCGGGAATTCAGTGCACAGAACCGTAGCGACAGACCTCTATTTATACAAAAACTGTCAAATGGGTGTCYATGGTGCATCAACACCCCCATAACTCCGCAAATATTACRTCATCAGTTTTGAACCCAATGYTGCMCTTGTTGTGATAATTATAATCAATATTAGATATGCATATTTAGCGCAGTAGTGTGTGTTATGAGTCAAAATAGAAGTGAATGGTTAAATCGAAATTTATTATCATGACTCCTCATCCTACATAATCATTCTTCACTTTGGGACAACCCACCCCGACAAAGTTCTGGAACCGCAATTAATATGTGATTAACTATAATTGGAATAAGAAAAGGAAGTTTACGGCACTGGTAAACAAAGACTTGATTTTTCGTGATGATTTTTAWTGACTCGCGATYTTGAGGAAGTTTTAAGAATTTATTTATTTTTTTGTAAAAGTGCACTAACTTTGTTTACGACTTACAAGGACTCCAAAAAACATCCGTTTTTTTTAATCCGTAATTTTTGCAAATATAATAATATGATATATAAAGATTTTATAGCGCTTAAGTAGCTTTCTCTAAGCGCATTAAAAAGTAAAAAATTAAAATAAAATATAAAATAGAGATTTACAGTGAAATATACTTAGTCAGAGATCATAACACGACCAAAACAAAGCAAATATAGCTACAACAGTGAAGAAATCGACCCAAACTTTCGATATAATCTTTTATTTTATGAAATGGAAAGATTCACTTTTATGAAATGAAGTCTTGTAAGAAAATCCGCCATCTTGCATCGTTACTGTTAGCCAACAAAATGACGTCAAAAGCACTACAACTTGATCACGTGATCAGGATTTGTCGAAAAGAGATATATTGTACAAAAAAGGAAAATAGAAAAGATGGATTTGGTCTTCCTGTTTATCTACAAGACTTGAACTATGTTTCTATTATAGAAATTAGATATTCAAGTCAATATTGTTTGACATGTCTTCCGTAGAGGAAGTGAAATAATACTCTTCCTCTAAGTTTCTATTTCTTGSAATTGAACGATGAAGGGATTTGAAATTAATATAATATATATTCAGACTTACATATTTATATGATTCAAAAGTCAATGTTGGAATTACTAAAATGTGGCTTTTGCGCATTAAACATGACTGATATCAACTTGGGACGGGAAGTTTTTAAAACTCGTATTCAGCGCTGTCAAAACGGTTTGAAGTTCCGTTCTCAAACTAAMATTTTATTTAAGTTTTACATCTTAAAATAAACGAGGAAAAGCTATGTCATTTGAAGAAACAATATAGCGCATAATTCATRCATATATAAAATTAAAGTGGAATAGAGCTTGAATGCAAAACTTTCTGTCTGCATGAGGCGTCACTAGGCAACCGAGTTCAAATAAAAAAGACCATATTTCGCGCTGTATGGTTTTTAGATTTCTAAATAAAAGGTTCACTGAATTAATTACTGTGCTTAACGCGMTACACTGTCGCTTATTGATCGTTTTCAACCATGCTCATGAGATTTAAAAGACAAAACCGACGGCCATACGTTGGAGGAATGAATAATAGATGCTAATGAGAAATCCTTTGTTGAAGTTCCTCCAAGATGGTTGCTGTGACGTATAGTGAAAACAAAGAATTCATGCTGCACATATTTTTATTTGCTTAGATCGTACTTAATTCAAAGCTGACTGCTCTCCACGAGTCGACATTAAAGGAACTCACAGATATAACGAGTACAAGATCGAGTACGAGTTATAAAATTGGTCTCGGTCATGAATTTCATTTCTGTAATTGAGACTAAACCTCCAAAGACATTAAAAAAAATATCATCTGAAACAATAAAAAAGGGAAATACCGGACCTTTTAAGCTTGTGTTAGGTTGAAGCCCGCGAAACCCCCAGCCTACGGGCCTGAACAGGATAACTCACATTATCATTTTGTCAAACATGTGTAGATTGCAATAATATACGATCAATAGTTAAAAGATTGCACAATGATTTGAACTGTATCCTCTCATTAATCGTCATAAAAATGTTCAAAACTCAAGTGAYCGGAACCACGACATCAACTAAGCGTCGATGGTCGCAAATCTGAAAGCTGTTGTTTCGAATCCCATCGATGTCGCCAAATTAATTTTATTTATTTATTCCCACGGAGTCTCCCGCTAGAAAATCAACACTACAACAAATTAGCCTTTCATTGTTCTATCTATAAGTACTAATGAGCCAAGACGGCCATCTATGGTAAAAACGCCTTATGAATGGATGGGTATAATCATCAAAAAAGCAGGTTAAAGGATATTGTTTCCTTTCATCATATATAATATTTCATGCACGGCCATTCCGTGCTCGAGGCATTATAATCTTTATGTCAAACTTATGTACGAGTCGCCTACCTACGTAGTCATTCTTGAATCTTCAAAATTTCTTTTGAGCGACGAGATAACAATGCATCTCGGTCTTTGAATACACTATCTGCAGCATATATTCAACGTTTTCTGAAATAGCTGTATAATGATTTCAAGCACTCGGGATTATGGGTAACCTATGAGGTTGCGTAGAAAAAAACATTGGTCTCATAATGTACGTACACACAATAACCTCGAGTCGAGTGGAGAAGACGTGCACACAAAACATACAAACAAAGCATATGCATTCTAAACCGCTAGCTACTGACTATGAGTATTCTTAGACTTACTGGCCAGGACAGTCGTCATAAAGTTGTAGGGCATGCGCATGTTWAAMTTTAGAATATACATAGACCTAAAACAGTAAAAAATAATCATTGAAGCTGTGAAAAGAAATCATGAAAAACATTAACATTTTTTCACAGTTATTGCAACAAGATGCATACTTAATACCCATACCCCTATACAATGYTCCCTATTAATGGTATGCATATATGACACAATTCCACGTAACATTGAAAAGCAGGGMTGAGGAGGACCMCGCAGACATAACTTTACGATATTATTCCAAGGGGTGAGTGGGGTCTCATATTTTGTCGCCCGTTGTTGGTGTGATGCAACGAAGCAGTTTGCGATTTATAGGCCAATTAAGCGTCCAAAGATGACCTTATGTTATGATGAATTTATTTCATTTCTTATTCCCGGTACACTTTTGACAAGATTTTCTTGGAAACTTTTCCTGTTTTTCCCTTATTTTTTGAATCATTTGAACAATAAAGTATGAAAAAAATCTATTATAACCAACAAAGCCTTAAGTTTTGGGACAGACGAAGTTTCATATAATGTCTAATCTATTTATTGCATCAATTGTTGTAACCAAAATGTTAGTTTTATTCAGCTTATGCTAAAGTACAGTCTAACGCAATCAAGATACTACCAAAATGGCGCCCTTACAAAATCTAGTACAACTGGCCAAGGTAATAAGGTGCTATACTGATATGGAGCACAAACTATAACTAAATGTTTATATAATCAACAGATGAAGTGCAGTGATGCACTATTGGATAGGTTAAAACCTTTATCTCTTATCTTATTGTATTTTGCTGAATAGTTCAAAAATTAATTTTCATCCACTACACTCCTACAACTACCGCTGACCGATAGGAAACGTCCAAAGATTCCTGTTGAATATCACAGATTTAGAGTTGGTTGTGGTTTCTTGGCTACCCAAAACCTACGATAATAAGCATATAAATATCTTTTGAGTGGAAATCATTTTCGTGGAATTAAATACAGATCAGTGTGGAAGAATATTTATGAATATATTTTGATTTGGCAGTGATAAAAAATAAAATTGATTAGAAAATGCATACACGATGAAGTATTCTCGAATACTCACACAATCCACATGTCCTTTTACACTGCTTAATCACATCGTCGTTTCTGTACTCAAAACAGTACTTGAACAAGGGATAAGCATCAGGATTGTTAGCTGTTATCCAACTGCAATCATCCCGCTCGTCCTTGCATTCTGAATCAGTAAACAACTAATTAAGAGTAGCTAATTGTCCAGTATTTAATGCTTGTCTACCTATTTTAACCATTCTTAAATTGGCTTTTACATTTCTCAACAAGTAGATTGGCTAAATACAGAGTATCATTGTCTCGACAATTCAATTCGTTCTTAGTGGCGTCACATCATTTTACTAGTTACTGGTTTTGTTGAGTTTGGCGTTCAGTTTCAAATTAAATGCTAGATGTCCCCCTTCCTCCCTCTTCAACCTTCACAATTAAATTTCACTTTACCCCCTGTTTCAAGTCTTAAAATTAGATTATGGTTCACCCTCTGGATTTTTAACGCCAACCATCCCCCCCCTTCAATCCAACCCCTGATAAATATCGTCCAGTCTCAAGCAATCAAGAGCTAAAAGCATTTTGGACAATGGGTCACATCTCAATCGAACACTTACCAACAGATGGGAATGGAGCGTTACCTATAAATACAATAAACAGTGGTAAGATTCTGAGGCCGTCACGTATCTCATGATCAGCATCAGACGATTAACACTTACAAAAATTGCAAGTCTTTTTGCATTGCTTAACTGCATCTTCATTGTTATTGTCTGTACAGTACTTGAACAAGGCATCTGCACCAGGATTGTTATCAGTTATCCAACTGCAATCAKCTCGCTCGTCCTCGCATTCTAGATTAGTAAACAAGAAATATTTTAATAGCTCTTTTCCTGGTTAAAAGTATGTTCGCAGACCTAGACAAGAGTGCCAATTCATGCCAAAATCATTTATCAAAATGCATCTGTGGGGTTTTCCGCGTCGTATTTGCGGCTTATTGCACTAATGATAACAATAGACTTAATGTTAACTGACAAGTTTTAAGATAAGTCGTACAGGTGTGGTTATAAAAAATAAAAAAGCTAGGACTTCATGAATGATTTTTAAGCCAGAATTTAAGCTAATGTATCGTCAAGATACGACATTTCTGTGAGTGATTATACTTCTAAGTTGAACACTTACCTGCAGGAGGGGACGGAGCTTTGCCTAAACACAACAAAAAATCGTATTAGTTAAAAGTAGACGCGGGTTTACAGTAGCCAATAAGCGCGTCTTACATCTTCCRCAAGTCATAGGACATTCCTGAACTGCTTTGTCATCTTTCCACTTCTTACAGTATTCTATCAATTCTTCTCCTTTTGCTGGTATATCACTACAGTCGTCTCGTAGGTCTTTACATTCCTTGTCATCATGTAAGAAATCATAATCTGAAAACAACTTCATACTCATTCTTTTGTTCAACTAGCACTATCTATTTTATGATATTAGTGATGTTCATTGAATCGTGAACTACTTTGAGCTCGAGGGTTGGAGGACTATGAGCCGATAAGCCATGAGGCCCAAGGCTGAGAGGTTTAATTGTTTTATTATTACCACACAAGTTTTCAAAATAAATAAATAAATAAAATATTTAAATACCAAAATGTTTTTTATCTAAAAACTCGCACTTACGTCTTTAATCAAATTTGCACAAATTATCTCCGACGTCGCTTGACACGCTTGGCATGTTTTGAAGTGAAAATCAATTCACTACACGCTGTTGAAAGCTACTTTGAGTGAAAATACTTAATTTGTTCTTTAACACATCGATTTGATCTTCTATATCCATAAAAGCAAATCAAAGTTGGCGTTTTCCACCAGTCGAGGTCTATTGAAATTAAACTCCTAGTTGCGTAGCCAATCAGAATGTAAAATTTAAAATAGTCCACTACTAGTTTGGTAATACTTAACTTTATTATTTTTATTTTGCGCGTTTTTGTTTTGTCTTTTTCGGTCCATCACGATTTGTCATAACACTTTGTTTCAAGGGCCTAGGAAAACCACTAGCACGCGAACCACACTTAAGCTTACTTCACTTATATCACTCTTTATAGTCCACGTTTTGCTCTACCTCTTTTCCGTGTTTCACTCATATTTTCACGCATATTTTACACTTTGACTATAAAAGTTAAACAACTCTATATCTAAATTCGAAAACTAACAATTCTACCCGGCACCTTAGCGTACAAAACAGCATGGTATCGTTTATAATGTTCAAGTGTAGCTAGCTTGGAGGTTTGGAGAAACCGTTGATGTGACCAACTAGTATGTATATGAATTTTGATAAAAGCTAACATTCATAATTCTTTCATGTGTTACCCTAGATGAATATAATTTATCATATAATTATCTGTGAAATACCTATATTTTCTCCATTTCGTAAAATTGATATTTTCACTAGTGGAAATAACATGTTATTTTGACTAGTGAAAATAAAACATTCGAGGTTTCTCTATATAGTGGATCAAGTAAGGGGCATTTCACGACATAATTTCCTTTCATATGTAATTATTTGATAAACAGAATATTACATGGTCGCATGGAGATACAAATTTTATCTTCTCGTGTTGAGATCTTTTCAACACTCGAAGATAAAATCCTAATCTCCGCGTGCCTATGTAATATCCTCTATTTATTCCATTGTATAGTTTTAATAAAATTTGAATATCACGCGCGTCTCCCCGAAAGCGTCAACGGTTACCTGTCAATCAATGCATTACACAATTGTTGAATATTATTAATTGAATATTCCTACTGCTTCTCGAAGAGAACTCGGATCTGAATCTTGCACCACAGGAATCCCAATCAAATGAAAGATTCAACAAGCAATACTTGGATGAATTGTAGAGATGCTCGAAAAAAAGATATTCATTGGCACCCGGACGTGGGCTCATACTGAAAATGCATGATCCCATATCACTACAAGTAAGATTTCTTGAAATATAAATTTTGGCGCCAATTTCACAGTGAAATAATACCCGAGAACCACCAATGATAACCGCAAGGAGCAGGATGAGGGGTTGGTGATATTAGCATGACCTTAATTCTTTAGAAAGAAATATGTGTTTTTGAAAGAACCATGTGTATCTAAACGAAGCTCGAGATCGTATATACTACCACAAGACTTACTTAATATGGACTATGAAACAAAAAGTTTAAAAAAGATTTGTTTCCTCCGAAATGAGAGCGAATCAATTATTTGCAGTAGATATTGTTATAAAGTGGTGGTATTGTTTGGCGCGTCTTATATTCATTCAATTAATGAGCCAGCAGTATTAGCAGCACGAGTTGTGATTATTTGTCGTCGCTGAGGCAGAACGAGCGCGTAAACAGTAGTAGRATCTTGRTTTCAACGGTTTTCTAAATAAACATTACTCAGAATTTTTGACACAGTGCACTTCAAATGGAAAGCATCTTAAAATCTGCTTAAAGATATACCGTTCAGAAGAGCTACTGCAACAAAGTCTAAAAATGTCGTTATGATTTTTGGCGCCCAACCTGCTGTTCTACTAAGACGCAACAATTGTAAGGTTACAAAAGAACATCAAATTAGAAGTTTTTATCTTGGAAGTGGTAAGYATCATATCATCAAATTCATAAATTATTATTCTAAAAATAGTGTTTGAATCAGGTCACTAGTTTTTTTTAATTCAAACATATCTTTTGGCCAAACGAGTTTTTTAGGTAATTATTACCTCATTATAAGTTTCTTTTTTGGAATAATAATCTTCTAATATTGCATCCTTACCAAAATTCCGTGGCTKGTTGACTGGGGTTCCAGATACTTCAAGTATTAGCAGCACAAGGCTAGCTGCGCAAACTGCAAAAAGTCTTGTAAACATTTCTATGCTTAAAGGTTCGCTGATCAAGGGTTAAACATCAAATGAGCGAGAATTCAAATTGAAAGAGGTTTTATAGACACCGCTGATCCATYAATCGAGCGCATCCAATGGAACAAGACGAACCAGGCTCCCTCGATTCTTTAAGAATTGACGCTGACTTAATCGTAGGAAGAAGATTGACTTCTCAAGCTTTCGTTCTACGCCTCTAATAGTCAYGAACATATTAGATAAGCAATTGCTTTTTCAAAATGTGCTCTATTGTASAAAAATACGAATGCTCAATAAAATACGAAAATTGCATTTTAGCAGTTGATTTCATAATTTAATTGGGTCTAGTTCAGAATCTTTTATTAATATTCTTGTCTGCATTGAAAAGTAAACTTCAAAAAGCATAATCTATTAAGATGTGCATAAAATCTTATTTTACTAATTAAAGTTAACAAAAGTTATGAACTATTTAGTGTGAGCCTGAAGTAAAAGTAGGTGGACTACACAATGTCATTGAAAATATCATTCAAAATTGAGTTCTACTTTTAAATTTCATGTAATAAGAGGTTCTAAATACGTCTGAAAGTTGATTTTGAGGAAGAACTGAAGTGATAGTATCTATGGCGTAGCCGTATTGAAGCATAAATTTGAAAACACTTTTTTTCATTTGTATACTCGAGTGTTTGATTAAGCTATTATGTCTATCGCAGTGCATGCGTCTTCTAGTCAACCTGGAACAATAAACATTGATTGGCCTGTTATTGCTGCCGATACAGAGACGAAGGCGTTATTAAGTGCGCTTTCCATTTGTCAGAACTGGCTGGCCAGAACCAGAGAAAATGTCATTGTATATCATTCCCATTTAGTTAGAAAATTCAAATTTTCAAATTCTATCCATTATTCTACAGAAANCCAAGAAAAAAATCCACAACTTGCAAATAGTGTCAATAATGATTTCCAAACAAAACCGATGGTTGGCGATTTCCAGAAGTCTATTGCTAATTGCAGTGGAGAAGTTGTATCTGGACTGTTTCAGTTTCAAATGATGAAAATGCATGATTAATATTTATTGCCATCAATAATAAATACCCACAGTTACTTTCGGTCATGCATTCACCAATAATACGGACAATAGCTATGTACATGCTTGAGCTAACAACAAAGTCTACATTCGGAATAATCCAGTTTCGAATTCTCCAATGCTCTGTGTTAGCCTCATTTTTGCGCAAAATATTCATAATTGTGAAGTAAAAGTGTGAGATTTCAAATTAATTCTATTGTTTTTCTTCACAATGCATTTTCTCGGGCTATCAATAAAACAAAAGAATATATTACTTGGTTTTGAGGCTAACAAAGAGCAAACCAGAACTCGAAATTGGAGTATTGATTATCTCCAAGTTCTAAGTTCATATTCTTGATGAAATATCAAAYACGCCTTTTTCCCCTTCAAAGCCAACAACTCAGGCTAAGCATTGAATACAGGCTAAGCCTCAAATCGGAGAAGATTCAAATTTCTAGAGCTATTTTAATGTCAACATTTTTTCGTGCTTTCTATTGTTCACGCAAGTTCTGCTCGCATTGAACAGGAAAATGCTTATTAGTACGGTTACATTAGAGCGGATTTCGTATGAGTGGGAAACGGACGGTACAGTACTGTAACCGTAATCGTACTGTAACCAAATTCTAGTGTCCCATTGGTTCACAAAAATTGTGCAGACCAGGTCCGGTAACTGTGCGGTAACCGTGCGGTAATGGTGTCCCACTCATACGAAATCCGCTCTAATGTGACCGTACTAATAAGCATTTTCCTGTTCAGTGTTCTACGTTCATTATTGATAAAATATTAAATTAATGCGGTTACATTTTTATATATGAGAACACACTTATGAACGATTTGTTTAAAGCTTTGTGTTTAAAGCTTCGTCTATTTCCATCAGTGCACTCGTCAGACAATACTTTATCGATTCAGCAGTATCCACCTTTCTTTCATATTTGCAAAGAGAAAGAATGTCATCAATCTGAAGAGAAAAGACGGCATATCCTTATTACGAAGTAWTACACCAAATTGTAGGCTCATGAGATTTAATTTACAAATAGACAATGCATTGACAATCTCGTCCTTATTGTATTCTTGTTTTATTTATTTATTTATTTGTCATTTTGATTGTTGTTTTGTTTAGCAATCTGTCAATTATGTAATTGATTAGATCGTTAGTTGTTTGGTTATTATACCTGTTGGTAATGACTACAGTCTTCGGGACAGTTCCTCAGCAAAACTCTAAACAAAAACCTGAACTGCAAAATATCAGCTTTTGCGTATGAGCCGTCTTCATATTTTTGTAGTTTCATTGCTCTTGAGAAATCCACAATAACAGCCTTCACAGGAGAATCCTTAAAGAAACATGAATATATATAATATGAGAAGTTGCAGCTGAAAAGGGGTCTTATTTGTAAATCTTTTGCTTTGGACTGCATATAAAACCGTTGCGTCATCAACGGGGTCTTAGTCCTTTTAAAGACCTTTTTTTAATTTGCAACCGCTCAATTCAGCGTCACAGGAGCAAAGTTGTATGGGTATCCCTTTGGCGATTATTTTATCATTCTTATGTCCATGCTCTGTCGTTTCGATTTCAGTCTTTACAGCAGAGTGCGTCCATGTTGGATTCACAATGTCTTCACAGTAAGACAATTTATTGGGTATTTTCGGCATTTATTGAGTCTTTAAAATGTACATTCTGTGTTGCTTTCAGGTCTCAATAGCACAGAAACTTCAATAGCGCCTTTTCATTACCAACTCAGCGCCAAGCCTTTCGCGCGACAAGTACTTGGAACGGTGCGTGATTGATGTTTGATTATGGATTTCATTACACAATACTTTTCCAAAATAAATTGCACATCCTTAACAAAAGATCTCTTTGAAACGAACGCCATTATCGCATTAGTCGTGCGGGGATTAATTACAAGGAAAACATTTTTTTCCAATCATTTGCAAACTGGGAGGCTTCATGATAAATTACATCATACCTGTGATCCCTTTCGACGTACAACGATTGCTCGTGAGTTAATGTTGTTATTACTTATTCCACACGTTTGTAGGTATTCAATGGTTGATATGATATCAATACACAAGGAGCATACGATCCTAAATGTCAGCGGTTCCTTGTTTTCCAGGTAATCATAAAGGCATTTGTTAGGAACGTAATCAAAGCAAATCCTATTTTGAAAATATGAAAAAAATGATAATAAGATGTGAGCACTCAGACGTAAGGAACTTAAAATAGAGGATTTGTTTAAAAATAACTTGCTGAATCCCCATAAATGTGCTACTTACAACGCTGAATTCTTAATTTCCTGAAGCTCTTGTGGGACAATTCCTGTAGCTGAATGTTGCTTTGCTGTAAGATACATTAAAAAATAATGGTAAATTGTCAGGGACCAGTGCTTGTCTTTGCGCGAAAACCATTCATATGAGTATATGGAGATTCTCAATACACAAAATGTTTGCAATTTACTGTATTTTGATTTCAACTTATTGGGTATTATGTATACATTTACAGTTGTTTATAATCCCATTGGCCTGCAAATAGAAAAAAAACTAGTCGAGGTAGGGCAATGAATTACAATTCATATTAGCAAAGAACATAWAGAAATATAGAATATCGACAGATAGTAACTAAAAGAATTGTATGTATTCTAGTACTATGTATTTTGGTATAATATACCAGTGCAATGCCACTTGTATCTCGCCAAGCTAGCTCCAGCGACTTCGGTATTTTCGGCCTGCTTCAGCAAAGACAGAATCCAAAGCTCTTTCTCCCAGGCATCTTCCATATCCTCGTCAAAATATTTAAGAAKACAGCGCTCGCGCGTTCCASGATTTTCAACYTCMGCAAGAACGTATCCCTGGACAAATTGAATAGTAGACATAGAATTAGAAATGAGAAAGAGAGGATAATGATTTATTTAGAATAGTGGCAGAAATAATCAATTAAATGCGAGACAACACTGATCAACGAAAACACTAAAATACAAATACTTTACTGGACAAAGTAAATAAAAATATTTATGGGAAAAAACCCTTTATTAGAAAAAATAAGCTAACAAAAGAATAAATAATATCTAGTACTTAACRTTTCTGTTTCCAATGTCAGTAAAAAAAAAAACAAAAAAACGCAAAACGCGATAATTGCAAGCAGTAATTGACCAGCTGGTGAAAAGGTTTTCTTCTCACCACTCCGCTATGGTATTTTTGAATCTTCAACTCCTCCAGTATTTGGAATAGATAAATAGATTCCTCRGTGTTTGGCTTCTGAATTTTTGTCCTCGATCCCTGCCGTGGAGAATCGTCAACAGAGTAAAACGTCTCAGTCACGGTGCAATCTTTCACGCCATGATTACTATTATTGGTTCCAAAGAGACTAAGGCGGAATGCTGAAATCAAACCACGCARTTTCAAAATGGGTTCAATGAGGTATATAACAACTCAATAGATTCCATTTTTCCGTGTTTCTATCCTCTAATAAATACTGCACACAGTTTATGTCAAAATAAGATGGCGACTGCTTTTCTCATTACATTTTGACGTCTTCTGTTTATATATTGTGAAGATCTACGGGAAAATGAAATCTGTTTGTCTTATATAATATTTCCTCTATTTTTTGCGACCTTCATCATAAAGAGTTGATTAAAAWCAATAATGCACGCGCACTGGCTCTGACCAATCAGAGCGCACTTAAGATTAAAGTGCGTCATCAGTGTGTGAGTACTTCAAGAAGTTACGATTCTCTACCAGTCGAGCACGTAATARAATGAATAGGTCTTTTGCATGAAACAGTACTACGTTCGCCATACTTGTTGGCAAAAGAATGTAAACAACCTTAAAAACAAAAGGAAGGCAGGATTCAAAATTGACTCTTTATAGTTTTTAACATCCCAGTTGGTATTTTTGCCATCCAGCATGGTGGATTTAGCTAGCACCATAGGACCGTTTTATGCAAAAGGTCTATCAATATATAATAACTCATACATTCATATTATATGTATGGTTTACATTTCAAGTGTGCCTTGAACATCTTTAACACTGAGGATTCAAAATGCAATCAAATATTCGTCGTCGTCGTTGTTGTTGTTGTGTGCGTGAGTTAACCTTTTATTTTGCTGTCTGTGGAGGTTGATCTTCTCAAATTTGAAAAGGTATACAAGAATGGGTTGATGGACGAATTGATTGGCAGAACGAATATTGCAATCCACACGTAGACTTGTTTGGTCGGATCGTAGAAGATTCTTGTGAGAGCCAAAGTACCAATTATGATAACTGGCATCCAACACAGAAAATCAGTCAAAATTATGAAGATCAGTTTCTTGGCAAGAGCTGACTCCCTGTTAACTGCAGTGGAGCGAATTTTATTGGATGATATACTGACACGATAAAATATTACAATGTATGCAATAAGCATGAACATAAAGGCGATGAACGGCATTCCCAGGAAAAGTCCTGCGCCATATTCCCATCCTGCGAGTCTGTCAGGAGAAAGCTGCAYTGGTAAACAGACTGAAGATCTTCCGTAAAAACCAAAGCCAGTCTGGAAAATACATTGAATGCAAGTCAGCATCATTACTGATCATTTTATCAATATCAACAAGGCATTGTATACGATATCCAACAATAGTCTCAATTTTCAAGGCTAATAGCCGCACGATTGTCACCTTACCAGTTACATGTGAGCTGTCCATCTCTGGGTAATGACTTTGAAGTACCGTCGTTGATTTAATCGTTAATTGCGTTTKGAAATATCATCAATTTTAAATAAATTTTCACTTCAATTTGCATTTCATAAAATTTATATTCTTCGTTTTCTATCACGTGGGTAAAATTGATGACGTCATCGATCGACGCCATCTTGGTTGATATACAAAGCGAGAAAAATGGCGTCTACAAGTGTCTGTGAAGCGAATTGTCCGATCCTTTCTGCATATTCTGAAAAGCTCGATGTTCCAACTAAGGACAGATACTTAAAAAAAGTTAGAAAATGTGGTTTCGACCCTTATAAGTTAAAAAAGAGTGAGTTTAAGGATGAAATTAAGCTTTGGCCAGCCGTCGAATACCCCGATATTGTCAACTATCTGTTAGTCCAAACTTCTTGGGCCACGAAGGAGCAAATGAAGGCCTACAAATCTCTTGAGGCATACAACTTCTTCGTTTCTGGATGGGTCCATTCCATCTTAGCCAAAGAATTACCGGGAAACAAAGTTTTAATCTACTCTCGGGTAAGTTAGAATTATCAAACAAGCATGCAGTGATTTTAAGCTTACGAGGCCATCGACGTTGATCATCATCTTTTGTTTAGGTCAAACACTCTCAACGCGCTCGAGAAACCCCATTAGCTGTTTGGATCCTTGCAGAGAGCAATGGCTGTGTAATTTCAGCTCACTGTAACTGTATGGCTGGGTAAGTAAAGAGATAAGATCGAATAAATAGAACCGTAAACTTCAGAGGTATTATGAAACAACACGTACACTTGATCGAACTTCAAGACCTTTTAAGCTCACTGGGTTGTGTTTTTCCTCTTCTTTTAGTTTGTCTGAAGTATGCTCTCATGTTGGTGCAACATTATTTGCTTTGGAAACTGGCGTAAGGATGCGCAATTCGACAACATGCACGCAGGAAAAAAGCCAGTGGATCATGCCAGCATATGTCAAAGAGGTAGGCATTCTTGTCTTGTAATTTTATGTTTTCTTNCACTCTTACTTCTGACTCTTCTTATGATGACCAGCATGTTACCAAACACAGCGAAAATACCAAGAATCCAGATAAACACTCGTAGGACTTGGTTCTTCATTAAATCATCGCAGCTTGAGAACTCGTTTGAATGGGTTGATACGCACTTTATTCCTGGTATGGCCTTTTTGGCATAACAGCAATAAATGAAAGCATCTAATTTTCTGAAAATTATGTACACACAATGTATTTACTTTCTAATTGTTTTGGTTTATTTCGATTTATTTATTTATAAATATGGCACAGTGAATTATTTCAATCGTTTTCTATTGATTTCTCAGTTTTGTAGACATCATATTTAGTCTTTCAGTAGTGATTTTGTTAAGCTTTTGATGCATAACCCTGCCCCCTATTTTTTAACCAGCCATATTGAGACATGTATGCGAAGTCTTAATAATACTTACAAATCTTCCAGTTCGGTCAGTTCAGCAAATGCATCTTGTGTTACCTTTGACAGCTTGTTTCCTCGAAGATCTCTGCGATAGAATAAAATAATCATTTTTTTTATTACATTCGATAATTGCATTAAATCAGTAGGCACCGCGGAGCCAGTGTTGCTTGGGGGATTATATTTTGGCCGCCATTTTTAAAACACTCGTCCAATTCATCTGTCGTTTCTCGAAAGTTGTCCCGTTCCGATTTATCCCCTCCCCCCTTCCTCCCCCCCCCCTAAAAATAATTATGTTTCGTGGTGCCTGATCAGAATCTTTTGTTATTGTAAATCACTATAATCTTTTGTTTCAGTAATTTAGATAATGTCGAAATGTACGGCTTTTTATAAATTGATAAATTGATTTGATAATTTGGTAAATCTTTTATCGAGGCAAGAACAGACTTACTAAGATTTTGCTGGTATATGAACTTTTCAGATAAGCAGTGAATGAAAAGTTCATATACCAGAAAATGAAGATTTGATAATTGTCGTACGTATTTTATAACAACAATCACACTGTCGTAAGTATTAGACTGTATCGACGCATTCTTCACTTATATTTTTAAAAGAAATCATCATTTTTTCAATTAATATATCATATTGACTTAACAAATGCTATGTATGTTTTGTGTATTCWGAATTTAAGGTTCGTCAGCGTATAAAATTATGAAGCTTATGGAACAACCGACTAATTACCAGACAACTACGGTTTTTATACAAATGACTTCTCTACCTGCTAAAAACTTACAGATTTCTTAAAGCCTTGAGACCTTGAAACGTGTGCTGATTTACGCTGCTAATTCTATTTTGACTCAGATTCCTTTAAAAAAAATACAACAACAACATGAATAATGACTTCCCATCATGTCATCATGTAACTCTTAAATGTAAATACTCCGTGATCACTCATTTAGTTTTTACTTGTACTTCGTTAGGAAATAACGCAATTGTGATTATAATGAATACAAGAACTTTTCAAACTTTTTTACTTACAAATAACGRAGTTCTGAAAGAAAACGAAACATTCCATTTGGTAACGAAAGTAATTTGTTTTCTTGAAGATACCTACAAAAAACAATTCTTAGC